TGGAGTTTGGGGGTATTATGAACAAACTTAGGGTTTGGCTATTAAATCAAAAGAGGGGTTTCAAAGTAAATGGGTCATAAATGATTATGGGGTTGAATATGAGGCTATAGTGTGACAAAATAGTTGATTTTGACATTTGGGTTGATATTTGGGAATGGAGTTTGCCCTAAAACATTTTGAATATTTATTTTGTACAAATAAATGAAATTGGTATTGTAAATGTAAAATTGGATAAACATTTATATAAATGGTGGAGTTGGATATGTATTACCTTACACCTTTGGAAATTTGAATAAATTATCTGTCTTGAGATTGAATATCTATTTAGAAATATCTATATTGGGCTATCGGTGGGGATAGTTATGATTGTTATAGAAATTGCATGAGGATTAGGTGAATTGAAACTAATCTCTTGTTGGTTGTCATTAAATATGACTATGTTTTAAATACATTGTATGTATATGATTGTTTAGGAGAAGAAATGGGAGGTACTCTATTGTTTGGGCGGAGATAGGCGATAGACTCCGTGGAAATTAAGTTGGCCTGTGTGTCCAAGGTGAAAGTCCCGAAACTGCACGTACACATGGGTGCCGATCCCGCGAATGAAATTTTCGTAAAATGGCAAATTGAAGTGTGTGTGTGTGTGTGTGTGTGTGTGTGTGTGTGTGTGTGTGTGAGATAATTGTGTTAATTTGGGAGCCACTGAGTTGTAGTCTCAGATGGGTTGTTTGAAAGATAATGAAATTGGCTCAAGAATTAAGGTGAAATGAATTAACTTAAATTGACGAGAAGGAAAAAAGATTGAGATATGAAATTTGGTACTTTATGATTACATAGCATATGAATGTTTTATTACTGACATTGTAAATGCACATTGTACTTATATCTTGGATAAGATTCATTTGGCTCACCCTATTTGGGGAAAATCATTTTCAGGTATTGACGACATGCCTCTACCAAGGCAGTAGCTCGAAAGGAGTTTGGAGCAAGCGCTTCATTTTTATTTTTATTTTTATTTTTATTTATTTTGTATAGTCAAGGGCTTTAAATTGTATAGAGCTAGACTCTCTTTTGTTGTAACCAAGTAATGACTTGGAAAGATGTAAGCCTGTAGGGCATTTAAATGTCTGTTTAACTTTCATTCCTCTTTACTACTTGAAACACATGTTGTAGATTCAGGATAGACTATTTATGAATGTATATCGCGTGTGTTACATTTTGTATATCAAATTCTAATGAATGAAAGCATATAATTCTATTATATTTCCTCTTATGAGATGGGTTTGTGTATTTATTTTCGGGGCGTTACACCAAACCCCCAAAATATCCCAAACCATATCCACCAAAAATATTAAAAAACACAAACAAAACAAAACAGTATCAATTCAACCACCACCCCTCACTCCCCACTCCACTCTCCTCCAAACCAAAAAAATGGCCTTCCTAGACCTCAAAACCTTCGTCGAACTCCGCCACTCCACAGCGGAGCACCACCACCACCACACCAGCTCACCACCTCTCTCCAAACCCACCACCACCCACAAAAGATTCCACTACATTGCCCAAAAATCCAGCCCCAAAATCACCGGCCGGAACCGGTGGCGCCGCCGCTCAAACCCTAGCAAAGGGCAACATCAAGACCTACTTAATCGAATGAAAGCTCAATAATTACAAACCGTGTGGTGGCATCATACCGTTGTGTATGGTCGGAGAGTTCAACCTACCATTAGACATCATAGACCGCCAAGTCACCAAAATGAAGATGATCTCTCCGTCCAATGTGGCGATTGACATAGGTCAAACCTTAAAGCCTCACAAGTACATCGGAATGGTCCGCCGCGAAATCCTCGACTCCTATCTCCGCAACCACGCCGCCTCCTCCGGTGCCACCGTGATCAACGGTCTCTTTTTCAAAATGGACAAACCCAAAACCTCAAACAAACCTTATGTTCTCCACTGCACTGGCTACGACTCCAAAACCGGCGACGCCAGCGAGCGGCGAAAGCTAGAAGTCGACGCCATGATTGGCTCCGACGGAGCTAATTCTCGAGTGGCTAAGTCGATCGAAGCCGAGGATTACGAGTATGCAATTGCATTTTAGGAGAGGAATAAGATACCAGATGAGAAAATGTGGTATTATGAGAATCTTGCGAAGACGTATGTTGGAGACGATGTTTCGCCGGATTTCTATGGATGGGTTTTTCCAAAATGTGATCATGTTGCTGTTGGTACCGGAACGGTGACTCACAAGGGAGATATCAAGAAGTTTCAGACCACCACGAGGCAACGTGCTCAGGATATAATTCTCGGCAGCCGGATCATCCGGGTCAAGGCTCATCCTATCCCGGAACACCCTCGTCCTCGCTGGATCTCCGATGGAGTCGCATTCGTTGGCAACGCAGCCGAGTAAGTTCTTTGGTCTATCTTTTCTTTGAACTAAAAATTAGAACCGAATAAGAAATTGATTTCATGAAGCTAAAAGTTTTGATTTTTGAGCAAATTAGATTAGTAATTCGGGCATTGTTATTTTGGATGTTATCATTTCAATTACTATTTTGATTTTAAATCTTAATTTTTAATTCTATATCAATTTAATTCAATTAATAACACTCATTATCTATAGTAAATAAATAAAAATAATGCTAACTAGGAATTTTAAAGTAAAATGGTCACTAGATTGGGTAAGGTTAAGTCACTTGAAAGTTATAATTTTGCTTATAAAAATATAAGACATGCAAAAATTCCTGCCATTTATAATCAATTAAATTAAATTGACATAAAATCATAAATTTAGATTAAAATCAAACATATTGAAATTATATAGACAAAAATGACATAAAAGTCTATTGAAATTATAGGAATAAAAATGACACAAGAGTCAAAATATAATAACCATTGATATAATTTATTTTTATTTTTTTATAAAACTTGATTTGATTTATTTTATTTAGATGGAAAAATTATCATTCATTGACAAATAGAGTAAATATTTACAAAGTGTGAAAGTGTTTGTGGGGGTGAGGTGTAACATTTGCTGTGTTTCTTACATAAGAAAAAATTACATTCTCGTGTATTTGTAATTACTTTTGATTAACTATCTTGATTTGTAATTACCCATATTTAGATCACTCTTGGACTTGTGGTTGAGTTAGGTCCAAAGGGCACCCAACATTTTGTGAAGGGTGAGGTCCTACCAATACAAATTGCCCTGGACCAGGTCAGGTGTGGGCATGGGTCTTCGAAAAAAAAAATTGAAATAAAATTTATATAATGTTTTATTTAAATAAATTAGGGGAAATTATCCCTCATTGGGAATGAAAGATTTTAAAATTTTAATTATTAACATTGATAAGTTTTATCATTAATTTGTAATTATTTTTGAAATTTTAAAGCAAAAATTTTCCAATAAATTATCAGTGAAGGCATGTTTGGTTTATGGTTTTTTGACATCAGCTCTATAGTAGCTCTTCATCACTGGAGTGGTGCCTTCAATGTTTGTTTGCTTTCTGTTTTATAGAACACATTGTACTAGCATTTATGCAATTTCTTTCCAACAGGTACGTGACGAAATGCTTGGGCCGAGGGGATCTATTTCGCAACAAAGAGTGGGAGGATGTGCACGAAAGCGATAGTGTAGGGGTGGGAGAATGGGAAGAGGATGGTGGAGGAAGGGGACCTAAGGAAGTGCTTGTAGAAGTGGGACAAGACGTATTGGCCGACGTATAAGGTGTTGGATGTGTTGCAGAAGGTGTTTTACAGGTCGAATCCGGCTAGGGAGGCATTCGTTGAAGAGAGGTCTATCGAATTACTGAAGGATTCTTATAGCCTATGACAATAATCAAACATGGCTTAGACTGCTAAACTCTTTAATAATTGTGTCGCAACCAAAGGATTTTACTTTTATATCCCCATCCTTCATTTATTCTTGCCAACCATCACCCCTTTATCACTACCCTCCTCCTTCCTCTCTCTCCACTACTACCAACCATCGCCCCTCTATCACTACCCTTCTCCTTCCTCTCTCTCCACTACTACCAACCATCGCCCCCTCTATCACCACTACCCCCCTCTCAACTACCATTTGCATCGTTATCTCCCCAACCCTAACCGCCTACTGCCACACATTGTGTATGGACTCCAATATGAAGAAGGTTTTTTATTTGAAAATCAATTTGAATGCATTATGTAACTCCCCTTGGTAACTTAAAAAGGGATTGTCGCACCTTGTTCATGGACGGCAATATGAAGAGGTTTTTTTTTTGCAAATTGATTTGAATCTATTATGTAAGTCCCATTGGTAAACCTAAAAGGGGAAATTACTACACTGGAAGTTTCATAAAATTATTACAAATTTATAAAAAGGGCAATTAGTTAGTTTCATAAAATTATTACAAATCAATTAATAAACAAATTGATTTGAATCAATTTGTTTACAAATTGATTTGAATCTACAAAAATGCTAGAGGCCTCAAAAATTCTACCAAAAGTTCTACCAAATGTTTCACATGGGTGTGGGACCCACATGGAACCCACATTGTGTGGGTCCCACACCTATGTGAGACATTTAATAAAATTTTTGATAGAATATTTGAGGTCTCTAGCATTACTCTTGAATCTATTATGTAAGAGGATTTGTATCACTGATTTATAATTAACTTCTAAAATACTCAATGAATTGTTATTTCCCCCAACTTAAAAAGGGCAATTAGTTCTTCCATGGCAAACTTCTCAAGCATCACTTGACATTACATATAGAAGTGAGGCCTTGAACATTACACTAGCAAATAAGTTTGTCATGCCCAAGACTGTCGGGTTACTCTAAAAAAAAATTAATAAAAAGTACAAAATTTGTTAAAAAATATTTTAAAAAATTAAAAAATACATAAAAATACAAAAAAAATATACTGAATTTTCATATTTTTTTATATTTTTGGTATCTAGTAAATTTTTTAAAAAAAAATTTCACAAAATTTGTACTTTTTAAGTATATTTATGTTAGCTATGTCAAAAAAGTAAAAAAACTTGCTTAAAATATTTAAAAAATTCAGTAAAAATAAAAAAACACGGAAAACAAGAATGTAAAATTTTCTAAAAAGTACTTTTTGAAAGACCTAACCAAGCAAGCTTATTGACGTTCAGATTTTAGAGCAATATATTAGAACAAGAAAAACAGCCAGACAAGAGAGACCTAATCTCCTCTTCTTCTTTGTCTTCCCAAGTCCCATAGTAATCTAGGGTCGTTGCATTTGTATTACTTGTGCGGATACTGCTAGAAGAAGAAGAAGAAGTATGAGAATCCACCATCCCCGTGAGCTTCCTCTTCTTGTAGCTAGCCTTAAAACAAGCTTGCCTTAGCCTCTTTGTTTTGTCTTCAAGTTGCATATCAGGGACCTCTTCCATTAACTTTCTCTCTTGCTCCAATACATCAATAGCCTCCTTCAACCTTCCCTCAGCGCCTTTTTTCTGTCCCTTATCCATTTCCTACACAAGCACAACCCATTTATATGTGCGCTTTACTCTTTACGTATATATAGTTATGTAGTATTATAATTTGAACATTGATGTGAACACAAAAGTAATAGTTGTGTCATGCATTTTTTATTCTAAAATGACTATTATAGGATTTTCTCCTGTTCATAATCGAATTGGAGGGGATCAGATGGGGGTTGCAAGCCCACATTGTATGCATCTCATGATCTGCAAAATTATCTTGCAGAGGTGCAACAAGTAGATTATTTATGTAACTAAGTTTAATTCACAATCTAGATGACTACATAATCGGAACATATTTTTCTTCAAAAAATGAATGATAAGTATAATTTCAAGAATAGACTATCCAATTTTTTTTGTACAACAAAGGTTACTCAATCATGTGACACCAATATACAATAAATCTATTTTTTGCATAAATAATTTACTTGGCAAACTCTACAAGTCTAACCACTTGAATCACTAAAAATGAGCACAAAAGTGAGCCCACATTCCCTCGACAGACCCTCAAGTGATAGGATAGAAGCCTCTTCCTTCTACAATTTTTTTTTTTTTTTAATCCTTTTTTTTTTTTTCTATCCAAATATTCATGTCTCTTCTAAATGTTGAGGATAAATAATGAAACTCAACGATTAACACATCTAACAACTTTTCTTTTCTTTTTCTTTTTATAATCCTTGCACCATATCACTCTCTTTTTGCATTTGAGATAGGGCTAAAGCTGCATATGCATACACTAAGACCGAGAGAAAGGGGAAGGTACCTGAACATTCTTGATTAGGGTTTGGAGGCTCATCAACTTTCTATGAGGCCAGCGACGAATACCCAATTCCCTACACCTTTTCTTCAACAGTGTCAACCCAACATATTTCCTTTGCAGCCTGTGTTATTGGCATATAGAAGTACTCAGATATTGTCTTTCTTGACAATGTCTTTGAACTGTTACTCTTCTCCTCACTACATCTTTTATTATTAACCGTCTTTTCTTTAACAAACTCCTCTTGAGTTTCCTCATTATCGTCACACAATAGCAATGGCTGGTTCTGACTCTGAGGCTCTGTTTCAAACCCAACAGGACTTATTTCTTGATTCAAAACTCCATACCCATTTCCATATCCAAACAATAAATCTTCTGCAGCAAATAACAGTTTGATCAACTCTATACACAATCATGAACACTCAATAGAAAGTGAAAAACATAAGCTTTTCTCGACTTACTTTCATTTTTAGTAATCTTTTCTAAAACTACGTCAAAATAGGACGCTAAACATTTTAAATAATTTCAAAGACAAAAAAAATTAAAATTTTAAAAAAAAAAATCACTAAATAAGAAAATAAGTCAAATTTTGTCCCAAAAAATAAATAAGTTGTTGTTTCTTTTGTATTACTGAATTTTTAAAATTTTTTAGGATCATGTAATCTAAACAAATCTATTTTAATTCAAAATTAAAAAATACTAAAAATAAAACTTATAAAATGTGGCAAAAGAATTAAGTAAAACTGATCACCTTGGATTGCACTTGGACTAGGCACAAGATCCAATGTTGAACACAAAGGATGAGTTGGGTAAATCCCCATCAAAGGCAAAGCATCCACAACACTCTCTTGCATTGAAAGATGATCATACTGACAATCCAATGCAGAGTAACCACTTCAACAGAACAAGAACATAAAAAGGTGATGTCAAACTATAATTTTAAAATTAAACATATAAAAAAATTATATATAGAAAACATTCATTTTAAATCAAAACGTCAACTATATTTTAGTTTCAAATCATACTGAATTAAGTTTTTTTGGTATGAAAAATCTGTTTGAACACATGTGAGTAAAGTACACGCGACAATCCATACAATGTGTATAATAAAAGGAACTTGAACACATGTGAGTACAGTACACGCGACAACGCATACAATGTGTATATAAAGGAACTTGAACACAAGTGAGTAAAGTACACGCGACAACGCATACAATGTGTATAAAAAGGAACTTGAACGAACACATGTAAGTAAAGCAAGCGTGCTAACGCAAGCAATGGGTAACCTCCTGGAGGGGATGCATAAACACATATAAGTAAAGCACACGGGGAAACGTATGTAATGTGTAAAGCAAGCAAGGTATGAACACATGTAAGTAAAGCACACGCAGAAACGTGTACAATGTGTAACCACCTGAAAATACATATACACATGTAAGTAAAGCACACATAGAAACGCATGCAATGTGTATAGCAGGAATTTGAACATATGTAAGCAAAGCATGTAAACGCACACAATGTGTAACCTCCTGGGAATATGCATGGACACATGTAAGTAAAGCACACGTAGAAACGCATGCAATGTGTAAAGCAAGCAAAGTATGAATACATTTAAGTAAAGCACACGCAGAAACGTGTACAATGTGTAACCACCTGAAAATACATATACACATGTAAGTAAAGCAAGCGCGCTAACGCGAGCAATGTGTATGATTGGAATTTGAATACATGTTCAGCATAAGTATGGTGAAGGCATGCTACTCGCATTGTTGAGATGTAACCAAAACAAGACGAGGCATTTGTTCAAAGCAAGACGCGTAACGAGCGTGCTTATTACAGTGACATGCGGAACTCGCAAGATAAAAAGATACAGGAAAGGATACACCTTGCACGCACTGAGCATCGCACACAGAAGACGCGGCTCGAGGTCAACACGAGGGTCGATTAAGCTTCAAAAGTGCTCTTCCTTGCACTGTCTCGAGTAATGAAGGTGCCAAACCATATAATTGACCCGAACAAGGGCGTGGGAGGTGCATCGACCACAAGAGGAGGCCACCAGTGTTAATCTGGACACTCTGCTGCCTTGCTTCCCTTTTGCTTTACTTATCCTTTTATTGGTAGTTTAAGCACATTGTACTGCCTCAGGCAGGTTTTGTTTTCTTCAAACTATATACTTTTGCAAAAGAAAAACATGATGAAATGTAACAGCTGTTTTGCTCAAAAAGTGTTACATTTGTACATTCTATGCATCGCATCGCATCGTAACACATTACAAAACAATGCAAATGAGATTTGAAACTGTGTTTGAAAATTAAGCATTCGCATCGTAATAATCAGGTAATGAGCCGATTAACGACAAAACAAGTTGATAATCAAAACAAAAGACTCAATAAGCTAACCAAGTGTGAGTACAACTCGATAAGCAAAACAGAGACTTAAAGAATGTGACATACAACTCGAGGTGCAACAACTCGATAAGCAAATGTGCAACAACTCGATAAGCAAATGGGCATGACTCCGCAAAAATCATCATCAGAAGGCATTGGGAGTGGTGCCAGTCACCAATTCTCAGCGTGTTCAACACATAAACAGCTCAGGGAATAAGAGTAAGGACCACCGGCCACAGGGGAAGGCCATCGGCCTCAAGAAATGGCCATCGGCCAACAATTTTTGGCCGATTGACCTAAAGTGGTGGTCAGTCGGCACTATTTTTGGCCGGCCAACCATAAATGGCAAGAACCACCAGAATGCTGACACCTGTCCTCCACTCACACCTTATCCCCTACAAAAAGCCTCAGCTTCGTAGTTTTTCTCAATTCAACACTGATTTGCTCCTAATGGAAGAGTTTCTTACCCAAAATCTCGCAACTTGGATTGCCAACTTTTATGGCTCAGAAAAGCTGAATTTCCGGGGTTTTGGCATAAACGCACTATTCACGCTGGGTCGCACTCCGCTGCACTTTCCGTTTCTCCATGCCGCGGCAAGATTTTGGAATTCGGTAACTCACGTCTTTAGCTTTGGCGGGCAAGAGGTGTGTCCTACCTTCGAAGATTTGCAAGTTTTGATGGAATCCGAGCACAACGAAGAAATATTTCCCCAACTTCGCTTCGGCCACGCCCAAGCCTTGGGGCGAATGTGTGGGCTCATGATGCATGACGCTCGATCTTTGATTTGTGACAGAATGCTGGACGTTCCGAGTTTAATTTGTCGGTTCTCCAATGCTAGTGACCGCGGTGACCATCATTGGCAAGGTTTTCGGCGACACGCCCTTTGTTTGTGCATGCTATCTCATTTTTTGCTTGCCTCAGGGTCCGGAGGATCTAGTGTCCGGCTGATCGAGGTTGCCCAAGGCTTAAAGGAGGGCAAGAGCTGCATTGCCATGACACTGGCTAAGACGTTGATGGGTTTGGATGCCTTTCATCACCGAGAGACGACCAGGTTCGCGGGGAGTCCACTATTGCTGCAGGTAATGTTTCCCACCTTTCCTCACATATATATTGCTCACATCACTCGGCCCTCAGGCTCATTTTTTTTTCTCAAAAAAACCTTTTCTCACTTTTCTCTCATCATACACCTCTCTATTCTTTAATCTCTCATTTTTCATCCCTCCCCAAGTGTGGTTGATGGACAAGTTACATGTTGTGGACTCTTGCCCAGCATACTTAGCTCGTGGCTACTTTTTCCGACCTCGTCTAGTCGATGCCCTGGATGAGGGATGGTGGTTTGACTGGATGTGCAGTTTGTCCGCAGATCGCATTGCTTGGCGTTGTCCTTGGCTCAATCTATCGACAATCAGCTACAGTGTGTCCCGGCAGACTGGGATTCAGTTGATTGGTTAGACGCATTGTGTGTTTTACTTTCCTTTCCGGTTCCAGCGCTAGTTTGGCCATGACCAGACTTGCCCGCCAGAGGGGATAGAGTACCCTGCTGCATTCCCAGTCCGAGGCGCACAGCTTGCTCGATATGCCATGGCATGGAGGACTAGAGAACTCCTGGCTCCCGCTCCCACTTTTAGTTGCACTTTATCTGATGAGTGCATAGATTAGCTCAATGAAGAGGCACAGATTGGGCCCGCTTTGGCGTCAGAAGCTTCGACCAACTCAGGGAGGGGATGCAGGAACACCTGACTTAGCTATGCCCCGGATTTATTACTTTATTAGTACTTTCAAGTTTTCTTTATGAATGTAATCAAAAGCAACTTCAATTTTTATGCAAGAGCAGGAGAACTCTGTATTGAGCAGGAGAACTCTGTATTCAATTTTTATGCAAGAGCAGGAGAACTCTGTATTCAAATGAGCATGTGTTTCTTCCATTTTGAGGATTAGTTTGAGCATGTTTTTGTGACTTTTGGGATCTGCCATAACTCTGTTTTGGGATGGTTTGGTCACCTCTTGCATGCTTTTGGTACTTGTAGTGCAATCATGCTTGTTGGCCTAACATGCATCATGCTTTATGCCTCTCATTCTAGCTCATGTTAGCTCTATCTCAGCATGTTTTTACCACTGATTTGTAATTTCATAACTCTATTTTGGGTTGGTTTGATTGCCTCTTCCATGCTTCACACACTTGTAGTGCAATCCTTCTTATAGCCTTAACATGCATCTTGCTTTGTGCCTTTAATTCTAGCTTGTTTTAGCTCTGCTCCAGCAGGTTCTTAGCCTTTTTTTGACTTGCTTAAACTCTGTTTGGAATGATCTTGGTCCTTTGAGGCTTGCCTTGTATGGCCATAGTGTAGTGGCCTTTGCTAGTCTTGTGTTTTGAGACCCCTAGCATGCCTTATTTGTGACATTTGTGTGATATAGCATCGTTTGGCATGTAAATTCAGAGCATAAACTTCCGTCATACTCTTTATGTTTATCACTCTCATGTTTATCACTCTTTCATGATGTTTAAGAGTTGTGCCTTTATGCCTTGTTTGTGAGCTAATACATGAGTACATCTTTTTTGCCATCTATGATGCGAGCCTAGCATGTTTTGGTACTGTTTTGACCTGCCTTAGGTCTGTCTAGGACTGGTTTAGTCCATTGAGCATTGTATTGTATAGTCCTAGTGTTGTGTACCTCACTAACTTTAATGCTTAAGGATCCTAACATGCTATACTTGCATTGTTTACATGATATGTCATCATTTGGCATATGATTTCAGTGCCTATATCTGCCATACTCTCTTATTTATCACTCTTTCATTGTGTTTGAGAGTTGTGTTTAAATGCTTAGCTTGCGAGCCAATGTATGAGCATGTTGTTGTAGCTTTTGGTGCTTCATTTCTAGCATGATTTTGCCACTGTTTTGGCATGGTGTAGGTCTGTCCATAGTTGGTTTGACCATTGGAGATGGATAGTGCATGCCTCATGTGTAATGTTCTTCACTTGCTTTAATGCCTAAGTCTTCTAGCATGTCTTGCATGCATTGCCTACATGATAGAGTCTTGTGCATGCCATTTAGCATTGAAAGATGAGCATGTTGTTTGCATGTGTGATGCATTGCATGTGTTTGGATCAAACATTAATCCAAACACGAGAAACGAGGGACGTTTCATACTTGAAGTGATGAAATGTGCCTCATTTCTTAGTCGCCGTCCCCCTTGATTGTGCATGATAGGGTGGAGGCCTCTTGAGTCTTGTGTGTTACTTGTGAATTCATAAACTTGTACAAACTTGGCTTCTCGGCCATTATGCATCGTGATGCTCGGTTGGTGGCCCGAGAGTCGAGTACCACACTCCTTTGAGCTGGAGAAATGATAAGGAGGGTGGTTGTACACACATACCCTGCAAATGCCTTACTTTGCCCTTGTTGAACTCTATTTGCAGCAAAATGGAAGTATGCAGAAGCAACTGGCCGACCGGCCGGAAGAAGTGGCCTACAGCCTCCTTAAGTGGCCGACAAGTGGCCTA